TTCTCTGGCCTTACTCAGTCAGATTCCTGCTACCCTTACAGGCCAACTAAAGAAATGCAAAATAAACAACGACCAAACATGTGGATGGTATTGGCGCACAAAGCTACGCAGAGAAACGCTGTCTCGAAAAACCAAAAAAAAAAAAAAAAAAAAAGCCCAAAACAAAACGAAACAACTTTTAATTGTATATGCTCTTTGGAGCCTGGAGCTTCTTGGAGAAGAATGTGGCTGTACCCTGAGCCGTCACCGGACCATGGACCCCAAGGCTAGAGCTCCAGCCCTTAGAACCCATTGCCTGTACTGGACAAAAGTGACCCAAACCTGTCAGAGGTTTGTGAGGATCACCTGGACCCCTTCCCCTCCCCCACTCCATTCTAGGGGTAATTGGGATCTCAGACACAGACAGCTATTTGGTCCCCAGCCTTACTTTCGATACTTTCTATGAGAAAGAAAATGAAAATTAATACAGGAGCAGAGCTTCACAAAAGAGGCCATTTGTCTTCTTGATTATCTATTTGCTTGTCAGAGTTTGAGCTATGGCACTGGGTAGCTCCTTTGTAATATAAAAATGCTCTGAAAACCTGCAAACACCCAGAAACATCTGTGCAAAAAATTAGACTCATTAAAGCCTTAAACACCTCAGAGGAAAGCGATACCTTCTTATGCGGGGAGGAAAGAGGTCGGCTCCTGGAGTCCTCTCTCCAACTTTAATAACCAGAGCCGGCTGTCTAGAAGGAGACAGCTTAACTGCATTTTATTTGCTTATGACAAATAAATCACAGTATGAAAGACTTTGCTCTCCTTAAGCCTCTGGTGTCTTACAATGAAACACACACCCCCATTGGGGCCTGGAATCAGCCCTCCCAGTCCTTGTGATCCATTTTTGGACTGGAGGGGGGGAAAATTTTTAAGCCTCAAACAAAACACATCCACTCCAAAGGGAAAATAAACCAGCTACCACAATTTGGAAGCCTCTGAGGCAGAAATTCCCATTGGAGCCTTTAAAACAAAACAAAACAAAAACACCCCACTTCATTGTGAGGCCAAACCCACTAGGTGCTTAGCATATACACTGGGCTGGGCGGCACTTGTTCATATCTTTCACATCAGCATTCCAACAAAAACACGATGTGATGGTCACAAGAAACCAAACATTTATTTCTGTCGTCACTCTGTACAGGACACAAATTTTCACACCAATGAAAGAAGGTTCTAGGCTCAGGCAGCCCCGGAGGTAGGAAGGGGCCTGGTTTGGAATGTCAGAAAGAGAACAGGAGAGAGGACACACATGACATAAAATAATAATAATATTATTAATATTAATAATAATAATAATAAACAATGCAAGAGTGATAACAACGGGAGAAGGCTCTGCAACATTGTCCTTCCAGAGTAGGAGGGCCACAGCATTTTATTCCCTAACTTCACATTCATCTGCAGTCTAAGAGAAGGCCTCTGCTGTGGAACTGTGGATTGGCCAGAAGATAGTCCCAGCTCCCAGAACTCAGCTGCCCCTCACCCTGCCAGGCCTGGCTGGACCCTTCCAGCAGAAGGTCCTCCTGGGTGTCTCAATCTCTCTTTTATTTTTATTTATTTATTTTTTTATATTTCTTGGGTTCAGATTCTGGAACCCACGTTGGGAAGGCCGCCCCTGCTTCCCTTCTGTCCCCCCTTCTAAGCCTAGCGTGGAAGCGGGTGAGCAGTCACACACCCCCCCCCCAAGGTGGGCACCGACAGGAAGGGAAGTTATGTGTGTGTCTGTTACCGTGGCCAAAACACTGTGCTATCTGGCAGTCAGAGGGTGCCTTCGCTGGGTGTCAGGAGTAAGGGACAAAGAGAAAGACAATCCAGGCTGCGGTCCAGCAGCGGCAGCAGCAGAGGCGGCGGCGGCGGCGGCGGCGGCCGGGCCGGGCCTCATTTGTTAGCGAGTGTCGAGGTAATGGTCGCCACCGAGGCTCGTCCTCTCCTCGGCAGAGTAAACAAGACAGATGGGCCCAGGCCGGGCATGATTAAAGATGAAACGTGGATCCATCTTCACCAAAGCTGAAAACCAGGCTCAGCAGGCTCCTCCATTTCTCTTTCTGTCTTTTCCTTTCTTCCTTCTTCTTTTCTTTCTTTCTTTTCTTTTCTTTCTTTTTTTTTTTTTAAGGAAGAAAGCAAGAGACTTGAATCTTGCTTCCGGAGGGTTTCACCCTGCTCCCTAGAGTCGTTTCTATAAATAAGGCTTCCCTACCCCCCCTTCTCTGCGTTTATTCCTTATAGATAAAGTGGGGGTAGGGTAGATAGGTTTTTCTGGGCTCAAGCCTGGGGACCCTCCCATACCCCCGCATCCCCCTTCGGTGCTCGCTGCCCACCCCCACCCCCCAGGTTCCAGCTCCTGCTTGGGGGGGCACTAGAGCGCGGGGGGGCCTCCATTGGGCCGGCCAGGGGGTCCTCCGGCTGCGCCCGCGGTGGCACCCGAGCGGATCTTGGTGTTGGGCAACTTGTGGTCTTTTTTCCACTTCATGCGCCGATTCTGGAACCAGATCTTGATCTGGCGCTCGGACAAGCAGAGCGCGTGGGCGATCTCCACCCTCCGGCGCCGCGTCAGGTAGCGGTTGTAGTGAAACTCCTTCTCCAGTTCGAGGACTTGCTGGCGAGTGTAGGCGGTCCGAGAGCGCTTGGGCTCCCCGCCGGAGTAATTGGGGTTTACTGGACACACACAGAGAAGGAGAAAGAGAAAGTTTTATTGCCCCCCGAAAGGGAGGAGGGAAAGCCTTTTCTTTCAGCTAACTTCAAGCCTCCAGGTCCCACCACCTCATCTTGGAGGGAGGGGTCGAAAAAGGAAGACAGACGTCGGGACCCACGGAAAAGAAAAACCTCAAACTTTTGAAAGGCTGGGCTGTCGTCCTTGTTGCCTGGGGGAGGGGGCACTGTGAGGAATCTTGGAAAGATTTCATCTCACTCTTTGGCCTGAGGACCCCGGGTGGGAGAATGGAGGGTGGGAGAGGGAGGGGTGTTGCCCCAGACCCTTCCTGGATTTAGTCCCCACCCTCACTGCTCAGATTCCAAACAGCGCCTTCTCCCCAGCAAAAAACTTTTGCCCACTTCTGCAGCCAAGGAACCAGGCTGGAAGAAAGGGGAAAAAAAAGAAATACTGGTAGTTGCTTCAACCCTCTGCTTAAATACGGATTACTACCTCCTCCTTTCTCCTCCTCCTCCTTCTCTTCCCCTCCTCCCACACCCCTCCCCAACTTCCAACTTCACTGGGACTGCGTATCCCAGGCGAAAAAAGTCGCTGGGAGATTGGAAAAGAGGATGACTTCAAAGGCGCAGGGCCCACCAGGCCATAAAAATTTATGGGCGATGTAATTATGTGACTCTGAAAACAGGAGACCGTAAATCTCTGGCAATGGCGAGTTTATAGCGGGGACAATTGGCTTCCCCCAGCTCCCTCCCCCACATGCCTCGGAGGTCCCTTCGCTGTAAAGCGCCGGGGGTGGGAGGGGAAGGGGTGCCCACGCACTCACCCGTGCTCACGTGAACTTTGCGCATCCAGGGGTAGACGACGGGCTCTTTGCACGCGGAGTGGGACGGGCTGGGATGCAGGGGGTTCTGGGCGCAGGGAGGCGGCGGGGGGCTGCTGCTGACCGCCTCGCAGCGCTGCCCGGGCTCCGGGAGGAGGGCCCCGGCTGGTGGCTGCACGGGAGCCCGAGGGGACAGCCCGGGCGGTGGCGGGGGCGGCGGGGGCGGCGGAGGCGGCGGGGGCCCGGGGTCTCGGCAGGCCGCGTAGCGCTGCACGGTGCACGGAGCACGGCGCCCGAAGGCCGCCTCGGGCTGGAAGCCGCTCTCTCGCCTCTGGCCGCCGGCGTAGTACCCCGGCGAGTGGTCGCTGGGTAGGTAATCGCTCTGTGAATACTCCTCGCACGGAGGGAACTTGGGGTCGACATAGTTTGAGTTGATCAAAAAGGAACTCATAGCCATTAATTTCTGGGAATTGCCCACAAAATATACTAAAATTTATTCCGACCCCTGACTCGTTTTCCTGTTTCCGAAAGCCCTCCTACTTACTGTCAAGTGAACAAAGTTGGGGCCCACGTGATCCTCGGAGCCAATGGCCACCCGGCCTGCGATTCCCGGATAAGGAAATCTGCTCACCCGGACCCTACTCCAGCCAAAGAGGTTTATTTCCCCTTCTCTCCCCCTCCCCACCCACCCAACACCAGGATTTACATAGGGCTCCTGCGGGGCGACCCCCTCCTCGCCTGGCTTTCTCCGCAGCGCAGAGAGACGGAGAGCTAGGACCTAGGAGTGAGCGGGTTAAAACTGGAGGGCCTGTTTTAGGGGGGCTGGGCCGAGCACAATCCCTGCATCCCTCTCAGAAGTTGGGGCTCCGGGTGTAGCCCCCCTGCCCTACCTCACCTCTGTCAACCGTTCTCTTCCTTCCACCGGGCCCCATCTCCTCCCCAGGGTGAGTGGGAGCTCACGCACCCGGTGTCTGTGTAGGAAGTGAAGTGACTGGAGGGCCAGGGGGCTCCTTCTTGAAAGGGGCACCCACTAGGTTAGAGGGGCGCTGAGCTTGGGGCTTCTCCGAGCAGCCAGATGGGGAGGAGTAGGAGGTGAGCGAGGAGGCGTCGGGAGCTAGAGGGCGGGTGCGCGGAGGGACTTGTCAGAGATGAATGGAACCGCGGGCGGATCGATAGGAAATTCACGCACTAATTCGGGGAGACTTCGCCTTCCAAATCGCATTTAGCTGCACTATTAGCTTCGCCGTGTCCGTCAGTCTGTCCTCTCCTCCTAACCACTCCCTCCCTTTGACCCACAAGGCCCACGCTCAGAGCAACGACTTGAGTTCCCGCACTAACGACAGAAGCTAGAATAAAGCAAAACCTGCAAGTTTCGAGAACAAATTGAGCAGCAATTTGCTAATTCCAGATTCATCGAAGCAATGCTAAGTGTGGCGCCGAGAGTTCTAATTGCCGCTAAAGCCGCCGCCTCTGCCTGTGTGGCCGAGAGAAATTTCACATCCCTGTGATCTAAGGGAGGGAGCCCCAGCTGTGACACCCCCACCAAGGACACATGCACGAGAACACCCACGGCAACCTTGTATTTTCAGGGCGTCTTGTCCTGAACCCAGTGAAATAACGACCTCCGCATCCGTTCAAAAAGCAAATTTCCTTTGCCTTTGCACCCTGTAGGCAGAAGCAATCGTTTCTCCCCCATGATTTCCAATAAAGCCCCCTAGACTCCTAATAGAAGATAGATAGGGTTGGACTTCAGGATAAAATTTTAAAACACCAGTAACATGAACCTTTTAAGTGAACAAGGACCCACGCTTCCAGGAGCAGGCATGGGCAACACCTCAGGGAGATGAGATTTCTCCCTAACCAGTTGAGGGAGGAAAAGAAAGAAAAAGAAGGAGTCTTCTCGAAGCCAGTCACTGGATTGTCCTCATTTAGAAAATAATCTATTTTTCTTCTGGGAAAAAAAAAAAAGAGCGGAGTGTTTATGTCAACTACATATTCCCCTAGATACGAATTTGTGACCACAAAATTCCTTACACAAATTCGGATCTACAGGGTATATACAGAAGACAGACAGGTCTTCTTGGCCCAGGAAATTTCCAGTTCTCTTACTTTCGGCGCGTTCTTCTTTTGGGGTGTAGTTTGCATGCTTTCTTTTTATTTCGTTTTGTTTTAATTTTGAGCTCTGGGAGCAGAAAAGTCACTGTGGGTCCATTCTTAGGATTGCAAGGTTTTCAACTCTCTTATCCAAAAAAAAAAAAAAAAAAGAAAATCAAAAATAAAAGCAGCTGTTGGGCAAAGGGACTCAAACCTCGTGGCTGCCGCGCGACTTTCGGTGGCGCATGAATTATGAGATGTAAACATTAGCTAAGTACAAAAGGAGAAAGGGTCATCCTGAGGCTGCCTCGAAGTCAGAATCAGGCCTTTCTGGGTGCGCTCAGTCCCTCCCCTCCCCCTGTGACTTTTTTTTTTTTTAAGAAAAAAACAAAACCCCAAACCAGCTCTCCTCCCTTGCCCCCACAGTCTTTAGTTTGTGATCAAACGCATATCTAGATATTTTCCAAAGCGAAGGGAGGAGAGAGGGGTTGCTGGGTGTGAAGGGGTGTAATAAAAGTCCTTTTGGAAAAATTGAATGGTAAGAAGAGAGAGAAACAGCTGTGAAGGAAAATGCTGGGAGACCCAGCAGATGGGGGCTCCCGGATATTTAATGATGGGCAATTCCGTTTACAACCTGAGAAAAAGATCAAAGGCGCTTCATTTCCGAATGAAGGGCAATGAGGAACCATAAAAGTTGCAGCCAGATGATGCGCAGGCCCCTCCCAAACTCCCATATCCCTCATACCTCCCGGGGGCTGGAATGAGGGGACAATCCCACGGAGGTGTGAGGAGGACCTCCACTATCCACTTCTTAGCCCCAGAGGGAGATTCTCTGTCTAGAGGGCAGGCTAGCTGGGCCCATCCACCTGCTTGGGTTGCTGGCGGTGGGGCCAAAATGGGATTCTGGGGTTTCTGAATGAACTTCCTGAGGCTCCCAGTGACTGTTGGTTTATTAAACTGGAAAAATGGGAAACTGGGCTTGAAGGAACTGCAGTTTAAATCCTGAGAGCTGTGACCAGGTGAGGGCCAGTGTGCCCAGTGGAAGCCCCCTCGCCACCCAGGTTTAAGAAATACTTTTGTCCTTATTGAGTAAATTAGAACACTGCCAATTTCAGGAACAGACACAAACAAGCCAAAACAACCCTTTAAACCACCTCACCCATGCAGAGACCAGGAACCATTGCTGGGTAGGGTAGGAGAGATCCCACCTGAGACCTCTGTTTCTGTTTTTTGTTTTTGTTTTGTTTTTTTTAAAAAAAAAAACTCCTATATCTAGCCATTGCAATCTTGGCCTCTGGGTTTGGCTACTAACCCCAATGCCCTCCTAGCTAGGCCAGATTCATGCACAACTGGAGAGAAAGAATACGATGTAGTTTCCATCTTCATCAAAGACAGGGTTCAATCTGATCACCCACAGACAAAATGTGTCTCTTTGATTCCTACCAGATCCCTAATATCCAGCAAGAACCAACTCTTCTCAAAGGGTATTTAGGGGTGTCACAACCCACCCCAACTGTCCAGACCCTTCCCTACCCCATACCTCCCACTCTCATACACCCGTCTAACCCACCTGCGGCTTGGGAGAGCATCTGAGTTGGCCTCTTTTCTGATCTACACTTAACAAGGGATGTGGCCCAGGTGTCCAGAGCACCAAGAGAGAGGGTATGGTTGAACTTAGGCCTCATCACTGAGATTTTTCGCTCCTGAGAACTGGAGAGCCACCACCTGCCCTCACACCAACCCCCCCATCCACACTCCCTCCCTGTGTAGACGCCAGGGGTGGAGGACAGGATTCATCAGTAACCCCCAGGACAGGTTTCACCGCAGCTAGAGACAGCCTCACCCCTCTACACCCAGAATACCAACAACAATAAGCATAACAATAAAAATGCGCGGAGCCAGAGGCTTATGCACCTTCTGGGCTACCTCCCAAGTGCTCTTAGGTTCTTCGAAGACCACTTGGCCTCCTTCTCCAAGCAGCCACAGGTTGCTAGTGTGACCTCTCGCTGCCCAAGCCCAGCCCGCCTGCGCCATCACAGGCGTGCCCCGCCTAGGAAAAGCATCCACCTTTTTATGGGCGAGCTGGAAGAGAAGCCGAGAGGAAGGAAAACCCGAGCAGAGGGCCAAGCTGAGACTAGTCCCCAGCGGCCGGGTGGCACTCCATGCGTGCCGCCGCCGAACGGAGCAAGGGCCTGAGCCGGCAAGAGTACTCACCCAGCCGCTCTCCGCCTGCTCCTGGCCGACCCGCCGCCGTGGGCCCGCTGAGCAACAGCTGAGCTCGCTCCTGTCCACTATTGTGTGTCCGGAAAACCGAACCGCGGCTGCGGGCAAAGGAACCGCAGGCCCCCTCGGAGGCCGGAAAAGGACTTTTTTTTTTTTTTTTTTTTGGTGTGTTTTTGTTTTTGAAGAGCAAGTTTTCGTATTAATCTCATACTTTGGCAGTCTTTGTTAAACAGCTAGGCGCGTCACGAGGCTCTCGAACATTTTAATAATTTTTAGACGCCGTGACCTGCGGTTCACCCCTCTCCGGGCCTCCCCCACGAGCAGGCAGTTACTATAATATGCTCACGCAGTTCGCTCGGTCATATTGAATTTTGCGCAGGTCATTACTTGGGAGAAAAATGACAGGGCAGGAATTTGATTCAGCTTACCCTCTCCAGCTCGACTTTTCTCTTTTTCCCCCCACCCAACCCCCACCCCAAAAAGTCTCCATTGGAATACTATTCAGGCAGCCCCGCCCCCGCTTTGATTTTTCAATCATTCCTATATTTTTGTCAGCTCCGGTTCCCAGGACTGAGAGCAAGGGCGTGTGATCCGGTGGAGGAAATCCTTCTGAGGCCTGAGCACTAGCTCACTATGCTGGCCCTGGCACCTGAAGGGCAGAAAGTGTGTCATTGGGCATCTGAACCCTAGAAAACCGGCCTGAGCCAAGGGTTTCCTTCCCTGGGCTCTTCCCCTAAACGCCGCCGCCTGCACCGGGCAGGGCCTGGGCCGGCTGCTACCCTGACACCCCTTCACCCACTTCATTTGCAGCCTCAGATGCCAGATACATTGCCACTTCTGTCAAAACTTCAGAGGCTCCAGAATTCCAGAAATGACCGCTCCACCTCTCTGGAAGGGAGTCTGATCCACAGCCAGATCTCATTCTGGAAAGAGATCTCAGGGAAAGGAGACAGACAACACTGGGCAAAGCAGGAAGCTTGAGGACCTGGCTTTCAGAGGCTTTAATGGTCCCTAAAAACAAAACACTCCCCCTCCATTTTTTTTTTAAAAGGACAGAGCTGTCATTCATTCGGCCACTCTTGTGCCTTCCTTCATCACCATCAGAATGACCCAGGTTTTAAAATCTGGTGGGATGTCTACACAGTATCTTTCCTTCCCCTGGCCCCGGAGTTGACCAGTCTAGACAACTCCTCTTGCACCCAGTTCAGTCAGCCCAGTCTAGTGAGTGTTGGCAGGGTGGCAGCCTCTAGAACGGATGGGTAGGGCAAGGCAGGCAATTCTGGTCTGGGGTAGCAGAAGTCACCCTTCCCTTCCTGCAGTCTTTTTAGCCTGGGACCTTGGACCACTCCAGTCTATTCCAGATTTCTAAATCTGTCAACATTTTCTCCCCCAGATAAAGGCAAAGGAGACCAAGGAAGGAACCAAACGAAATAGATTCTCCACTTGGAGTCATGACCTCTGCTCCTCAGGACCCAAGAGTTCTTTTCTGGACACACACACACACACACCCCCCCGGAGAATTTCACTTGAGAACGAAATAGAAACAGGAGTCCACACACCCTTTAGTTGGGGGAGGGGGAAACTGGGATTAAATTGACTTGAAATTTGCTATTAACCCTTTTTCTCTTTGGCTTTATTTCAGAAGTCATCTCTACAAAAGCTCCCAGCCTATGTCCATGGCAGAAGGACAAACACCCACGGCGCACCTCCTACAGCGAATGCTTGGAAGAGACCGTGATGACATCTCCTAACGCAACAGTCGTTTAAAGACCCAAAATAGACATATGCCCTAGCGTTATAATCACCGTCTCTAGGAAGCATTTTACTTATGAGCTAAGCTTAATGCATAGACTGAAGGTTCATTTCAGGACGCCTGTTTTCAACTCCAGTTACAAAGATCTCCAAGAGACCATTAAGTATTTTTCCATCACACTTGCCCTCCCTCTTCCAAAGAGGGCTAGAGAGGGAATCAGGATGAACATCCAAATGGAGGCTTGATAGAGAAGGAGAGAACTAACTACCTTTCAGTGTCCTAGTTCGTAAGCACCACAGTTTAAAGGGAAGGATTAGGAATTTTAAAAATGTCTGGTACTGGCCCAAAGTCTTGAAGTCCAGTACCTGGAACTAATCTAGGACCTGGGGTCTGGGAAGACAGGGCTATGTTCCCTAGGCGAGGAGGAGCACGCACTTTGGCCCCTTTAGGGCAAGCAGGGTGGGGCTGATGTTGCGAGAATCAAGACTTCACCTTGGAAGCCTTCTTTGGTCCTGCAAGGACGTGTGGGTAATTGGATTTTTTAAATGTGTGCGGCTGGGTAGGTTTTAATTAAATTTTATATGGTGACTCAAAGGTTATCTTTGGGAGAGAAAATTGCGTGGAGGATTCGCCACGCCCCGGAGCGCTCTTTTGTGCGGCTCTCCACCATCAGCCTCGCAGCTTTTGCAGAACAGTTTCTTCCTTCCTCAGTTTCCCCTCCCCCAGATCTCTGCCTTTCCCCTATCCCACTTCTGCTGCCTCCACCCCTCACATCTCCCAGCTCCCTCGCCTTCCTTCCTTACCTCCAGCATCTCAAGCTCTCTCTTCTCTCTTCACACATACAGCCCCCTCCCCCTCTCCCACCCCGCCCCCGCCGCTAGACGCCTGGGCCGCCGGGATCACGCATGCACGTAAACTTTTGACCCTCCAACTTTGCGACCCCTCCGTCAATAACACTGGCCTCGCTGCCCAGAGTCTCCTTCTGCTGTGTGGACTGCAGAGACCCAAGAGCAAAACACCTCTCCTGCCCCTCCCCTTTGGCCGCCTTGTGTCCCCACCCCACCCCAATTAAGAGCCTGAGACCTAAGGAATAAGAGTGTTAGGTTATTAAACAACTCCGGGGGGGGGCGCACAGGCCCCACTTCCTGAATTTTCATAGGTCTCTTTGATCGAGATGCCAGCGAGGGCTTTTGACTGCCCACCCCTCCTTCACTCTTGTCTAGAAGAGTAAGGCCGGCCGGCCGAGGTTGCTGAGTGAGGGGCCTATGGGACCCGCAGAGTGGGCTGACCTGGAGAAGAGAGGTTTTTAAGGTGAAGAATGGAAAGAGCTTGAAGCAGGACTTCCTTGGGATCGGGATCGGAGGAGCCTACTGGGCCCTTCGGGGTGGAAAGAGAGCTGGGTTCCAACAATGCAGACCCGGAGGGGCCCGGGGCCACCTTGAGCGGTCGCTCGCTGGCGTCTCAGAGACCCCAGCCTGGCTGTGAACTTGGTCTAAGGCGGACTCTACTGGCAGATCCGGGAAGTTACAGCCTCTGCCTCCCGGCCAGCGCAGCAGCCCTGCAATGGACCAGCACGCTTTCGGTTTCCCATCTGCCCAAATACCACCTCTCAGGTTCCCATCTGTTGCAGCCAAAGGTTTCATTTCTCCTTCTGTGGGTTCCTTGGGAATCGTAAACCAAGTAAGAGAGAGAGAAGGGGGTAAAGAGGAAGGAGGGCCGAATATAGAGAGAAAGAGAAAACTAGGTGCATAAAGCGCCTCCAAATCCCCCACGAGGCGACCCCCTCGCACGCTCATTCTCCCTCCACCGGCTAAGTGCTTGGGGCCATGCAGACTGCCTGCCCCCTTTTCCACTTAGGGGTAGGGGGAGGTGGGTTATCTGGAGGTGAGGCAAGCCAGCCTCAGGCCTAGGAACTACTCCTCGCTGGATGATTCACCCTATCCCACCGGGATCTGAAGCCATGGCGTGCTACTGCGACCAGCCCCAGTCGCTGAGCCCCCAAGGCCGCAGTACAGCCTGCAGCCACGTGCATGGCCCCAGTCCTTTAAGAGGTTAGAGCATGGTCTGGATGCCTAGGAGCCTTTGCCAAGGGCAAGATGCTGCAAAGGTGCTTCGGAGGATACATACATCTTCCTTCTCAAAGGAAATTAAGAGAGGAGAGACAGGAAGGAAGGAACTAAAGGTGTAAAAGAAAAGAAAGAGGAAGGAGTCAGAGAAAGTAAAACTTGAGTGGGGGGTGCTATGTGCTAGTGGACAGGTTCCCAAATTACCCCGAATTTTATCCTATCCTGGACTTTAAACCCACCACCACCACAACCACTACTTCCTCCTCCTCCTCCTCTTCCTCCTCCTCTTCCTCCTTCTCCTCTTGGAGCTCCTAACTCAATGAATTCTCCATGAATCTGCCTAAAGAAAGGAGGAACCATCACCTAAACCTGTAGGCATACCCGCCTGTCCTGCTAGGCTGGGGTGGTGGTGATGTGGTCAGCAGCCGGTAATGTATGCGGCAGAGGCTTGGAGCCCCATGTAGGCCGGCGCTGCGCACCCCCCCACCCCCGTCTGCTGACCTCTGCGTGATCCCGGACTCTATGAATTATTGATGAGATATGAGCGCTGATTTCCCCTTTCAGGAGGCAAACTCCATTATATTGTTAAAATGGCGATTTAATCGTTGAGAATAGCTTTGGTGTGGGTTTTTTCCCCCAACTCATTTGCGCCTCCTTCCTTTTCATTTAACTCTCTTAATTAAATCCTTTAACAGATTTTAATCACTTTTTGGAGGGAAGGGTAGGAGGAAAAGGAAGGGCCACAACACCATCACTACCACCACCAACAAATGGGACACCAAAAAACGACCAAGCAAAACAATCCTGAAAAGCATCAGGAAGCTTCTACCTTTGGGAAGTGGAAAGAAAGGTGAGGAGGGCCATTAAGTCCTCTCAAAAGATGACTTTGGGAACCTCCACCAGAGACAGCATCACAGGGCTGAACAAGGAAGAGACATTAGGAGGTGTCGAATCTACCCCTAGGAGATTTGGGGGGGGGGTTCAATTGCAGCAACCAAGTCAGGCTTACCCTTGCAGAGAAGTCCAGGGACTTTGAGCTTGGGAGGGTCACGGGATTCTTGTGGGAAGCAACTCTTCTATCTGGGCCTCGGGGACACTTAGGGAGAAATGTCCAGTCTCCTTAAAGGGCCCCCCTTGGTCCCCTCCCCCTCCCCAAACAGCTCAGTTTCCATGTGGTGTCTGGGTTAATTAATATGGATGTGTAACTGCGTTGCAGCAATCGATAAACCCTGCTGTGGGCAGATCCCAGCCAAAATCCAATTACTCTAAAAACCTCCAAAAATGAATAAAGTGACCAGTAGTGCCTACTCCTAAAAAATGGGGGAGGGGAGACTCTTATGAGGCCTGTCTTCTGGGGTGAGCCTGGTGGATTCCAGGCTGGGATGCTTCTATTCAAGGAGAGCTGACCTGGGAAGGGACTGAATTTGGGGATACTCTGCCTTTTCCTTTGCTTGGGATCCTTGGCTTCTCTCCCAGCATCCAGATCTCGGGGAGAAAAGGACCAGGCGGCAGGGGAAAGAAACTGGCTGTTGGCTCTCCTCCTGTTCTGCCCTCTCACAGCCAGGGAAGGGTTAAGTGTCCCTGCTGCAGTTATGGAGAGGAAGCTGATGAAATATGGGCCCTTGGAACTCCAGGCTAGGCCGGCTTTCCTGTTTACACTTCTTTATACTTCCTCCCATCCCTGTGGCCACAGAGAAACAAAACAAAACAAACAATCAAATAAAACAAAACAAAATCCAATTGTCCTCCAAGCGGTGGCCAGGCTGGGCTCTGCCCCTGGGGTAGATGATTGGGTGAGAGGGTCCTGGCTTGGCTTGTGGCTCAGAGGTTGAGGCCTAGACATGTGGGGAGAGGAAGCAGTGGGAGAGGAGAGAGAGAAGAGATCGGGGAGCAGTAAAGCGCCTCTGAACCCGAGAGGAAATGGAGGCGGGGTGGAAGCGAGGAGGAAGGATGAGGAAGGGGAAGAAGAGAAAAGAGGAGGAGGAGGAGGAAGAGAAGAGGGAGGGAGGGAGGCAGAGGCAGCCCAAGTCAGAGGCAGGGGCAGTTCTTTGTACCGGAAACCTTCCACACTCTGCATCCTCTTCCCTTGCTTGCCCGGGCCGCAGTTCAGAGAACAGCTGCCCCAGAAAGCCTCGCTGGGGGAAGAGGAAGCCCACGGGGCCATAGGAGACCTTCCAAGGGGTTATGACTGAAGAAAAAGTGCCCGGGACTGTTCTTTGCCATTCTGGAAAAAGGATTCAAACATGCTCCATAGATGTCTCAAGGCTGTCAGCATCGAACATTTTCTTAGAGTTTGCAAGTCTGACATGCAAAGTGCAGGGAGGACGTTTGTCAGGGACAAACCTGATGATCTGGACTTTCAGGACCCTAAGAAGGATGTGGAGAGCAAGATAGGGTGAGGCCAGAAGAAACGAGGAAAAAGGTCACTCTTGGAAGCCCCGGGTTAGACTTGGCTACTGTTGCCTGCCTCCTCTGCACTTCTTTCAACTGCTTTGAAGGCTTCAGAAGCCAAACCTCTAAAGCGTATTCATATTTTAAGTGCTGCTAGCATGCTTTGATCCTTTGGGAGTGGAAAAGAGTGTCCTTTACAAGGGGTGTAAATGTCCATCGTTCTTAGGGAGGTGCCTGGGTGAGGAGCCCAAGCCCTTGGTCTCTTTCCTCTGTTCTTAAAGCTCACTGAGGGTCTCCTGTAAGCTGGACGTGGGCAAGGAGTGGTGAGCTCAAAAAAAAAGAGAGAGAGAGAAAATAGAGAAGAGCAAGGGGCAGAACTAGAAGAAGGTGGGCATCAGTATCCCCTTAGTGGAAAACAGGGGAGCCCTGTGGCCCTTCTTTGTCAGAGATCAGAAGCCCCTCAAAATGCCAAGTCCTGTCTGAGGAATTATCCACCAGAGTTGGTGAATCCAGAGACAGTGAGCTCGCCGGAAGCAGGACCACCAGAGTCATTGGCCCCAGAGATCTTAATTAAGAGGGTGGGGAGACATATCCATTTGATCGGTAAGAGGATTCTAGCTTTTAGAAGAGGGGTGACTTTTCCTTAGAAAACAAGGTTCCCATGGAGGGGAGCAAGTTTGGAAGTCCCTCTGGTCTGCGGTGATACAAAACAAAAGAGACCATTCAGAGTCCAGAGGGGGGACGAAGAAGAGCAAAGAGAAAAGATAGCACCTTTGGGGACCTATGTTCCTGGGCAAGTTGTGTGTGTGACAGACCAGTTAGACATACCTATGTCCTCCAGACCTGGACAGAAGCTCTGTTCTTTCACATGCCTGGTCGAAATTTAGGTTTGGAACTAAAGGCTATGGAACCCCTCTGTCTGCTCCTCCTTTTGACTCAAGCTCCTTCTCAGAAACCAGCAAAAGAAATCAAATTGAGACCAACAAGCTGGAGGTGGCTGTGAAAACACTGAGCTCTTCCATTCTAGATAACCCTGAGGGGACCACAAGGAGTGCAAGGGGGGATGCTTTTATGGGGAACAGACATCCAAAACCCAGAGAGCATTCTAGGATAAGGTGGCCCACAGCAGCCGCCTTTCCCTGGTCCTTTCTCTCAAATATATCCAGGTAAAAGTGCCCACCGCCGGGTGCCCCCAACACATCCCAGATGAACAAATCTCATCATGTTTCTTTCCTGGGGGTTAAGAGGGGATCTACATGCAGATAGCCAGCAGAGAAACACCCCTCCACCACACCCAAGCTTTATTCCAGCTGTTCATATTCCCTCCTTCCTGGCCCCTAATTTCCAAAGATATTGAAGGAACATGGATCCCACATGACCCCCTTTCTCCACAGAGTCCGGTGCTCCGCAAAGATGCAACAGACACGTCCCACCCTTGCAGCGTTACAGAACTGAGCCCTCACTGTAGGCACCTCGTTTCTCAGAACTGGGTATTTTTTTTTTTTTAAAGCTGTTAAATTTCCCCTGTATCATTCAACTGGAAACAAGATTTTCTCCTCCCATCCCAAGCCCCAAAACTGCAAGGGGAGAAATCGAAAGCTGGAAGCGACTTCCTTACCGTGGAGTGCTGGGCCTGGGCTCTGGCCACTGCCTTCCTGGGCTTTTCCGGCTGCTCCCAGCTCGCAGAGCGCTCACCTACCTCTGCCCCCTTCCCACCACAGTGAGCTGTTAAAGTGTCACTTAGCATTCTGGAGAATGTGAAATATACCGCGCGGTGTCAACTCCCCAAAACCATAAAACTAACTTTATGGACCTCACGTGACTTTCTCGAGCCAGTGAGGGGTATCTGTCTGACTTCTCGGCGATTTTTACGATCTAACTTCGAGATAAAACCCCTATCCATTTGACATCTAAATGTCATAGCGACTTTTGGGATAGTTTGCTCTCGGTAAAGGGGGACAAAGTCATGGGGTGAGAGGGAAGGAGGGCCCAATAGACCCTCCAAGACCCTCGCCATCTCCTCACCGGCTCCCCCTCCCCCCAGGTCCTGTAAGAAGTTGGGCCCAGCTGGAAGGGATTGACCGGGTAAGTGTCCAGACTTGACTCTTATGCTCAGGGTGGAGGCTGAACTGGATGGAGGAAGACTGGGCCCTGGTCCTGAACCAGGCTGGAGGGGGAACCAGGGGTCTTTCAGGAAGAACCCCAACCAAGAGGGGAAGGTCAGTTGGGACCCCTGGAGAGGAGGACCCCCTGAAAAGTGCAGAGAAGGCCAACCTTTGAAGGAAACCTTTGAAATTGAGCTGGTTTTTTGTTTTTTTGTTTTTTCCTTAGTGGGTGGCAGAGCTGAACTGGGCTTTGGAACAGGAGACAGGGCATCTGGGCAGGCCTTTACCAGCTTCAGAAGATCAGGAGCCTTACTGCTCAGGACTTAGGCACAAATAACTCTTCCTGGAGTGCCCCCCCCCCCAGACTTTGCCACTCAGCTGGAGTGAAGTCAGGATGGACTTCAGCTAAGGCCCATCTCAAGTTCCTGGGCCTCTCAGCGCCCCAGGCATGAAGGCCTGTCTCCTGGCCCAGGCTAAGGACTTAGTTGACTTCAAGGAGTTTCTGGTGGGCACCCTGCTTTCCCTTCTCTATGGCCTAGGTTTATGGAAGATGGTCTTAGGACAGTTTGTGCCCAGTGGTCAAAGAGGCAGACCCTCGGATAAAAGACAAGTGGAAGGGCCATGGAGTGGGGGAGACATTTATTTGACTTCAAGGAAAGCTACACACATACCAAAAGCTAACCACTGAGACAGGCCTGGCCAAGACAGATTCCACACGAGCGGCAGCACAGCACCCACCTGCTTACTACAAACGGTCTTGGAAATGGGTAAGGAAGGAGGTGATGGGCCTGACCCAGACTATCCCCATATTTACAAGCTTTGGGCCTTCTAGCCAGACCCACAGATTCACAGAGAAAAAAAATCACAAGACATTTTACACTGAGGGTTATTTCTGATTCCATACACTCCTAGAGGAGGCCTCGTGCGGCCTACCAGGCAGCAGCTGTCGACTCTTCCTCTTTTCCTCCCAGCATCCACACTTTGGTCCTTCCCTGGCCCCTTCCCACCCCAGGAACAAGCCCCTGGGAGACCTGGGCCCAGGGAGTGGAAGCTGAGGAGGATGAGGTGGGTGAAAAGAGACACGATGATCACAGACTCCATTTCTTAGGCCAGCTCAGCTGGGCCCAGCACTCCCCATCCTCAGCTGCTGCCCCTTACGGAAGTTTCCAGCTGAAACTCAAAATACAGCCATCATCCTTTTATAAATAAGTTAGAACACAGACGGGGTGGGGAAGTCACATTAAACATGCGAGTTTCTTTTTCTTTTTTTCTTTTTCCTGGGGGAAGGGGTGCACCCACAGACACGAGGACATTCAGAAACACTGGCAATTGGGGGCGAGCCGAGGGAAGTGGGGAGCATGGAGGGGAAATAATAATAATAATTATTATTATTAACAATAATAACAAGATAACCAGTCCAGGAGAGAGGGAGCCATGGGAAGACCTAAGACCAAACGAAAAATTGCAATACGAGGCTGGGGCGAGACAGGCTCGTGGGGACAGGTCCCCAGCGGGCAGCGGCAGTGCAGGGAGGATTGGAAGGGTCGGGCTGGGGGTGGTGCGGGCTCTTGGGCCGCCCAGGGCTCCTCCGGATGGGCTCATGGTTGGAAGGCGCTGCCGGCTGTAGCCAGGCTCATACTTTTCAGTTTGTTGTCTTTCTTCCACTTCATGCGACGGTTCTGGAACCAGATTTTGATCTGGCGCTCGGACAGGCAGAGCGCGTGGGCGATCTCGATGCGTCGTCGCCGGGTCAGGTAGCGATTGAAGTGGAACTCCTTCTCCAGCTCCAGGGTCTGGTAGCGCGTGTACGCGGTCCGGGCCCTTTTCCCGTCTGGCCCAGTCATATCTAGAGCAGTTAGAGAAGAGCCCCGGAGGCAACGTTATTCCGGTTAAAGGAGGGGGCACCACCGAGTGGGAGGGGGCGGGGAGCAGGACCCAGGCGTCCCCAGCATCCAGCTCACCGCCCCAGCTCCAATCCTCCTCACTCCAGGTGCCCGCATCCAGCCTCTCTCTCTTCGCCCCCTGCTCCAGCAGCCCCCACTTCTGGTGGTAGTGAACGCTCCCCGCTTTGTCTCTCGCTCCTTCCCAGTGCCTCACCCTAGGCTGGCTTCAGGCGGCCGTTAGCCCCGGAAGGGAGCAGAACCGCTCCACTTTTACCCTGGAAAGCTCCACGTACAGCCCATTCCTCCTCTGCTAGCGGCAGCCTCAGAATTTCAGGAATAAACAAGACCCTTCCCCACAATACACAAATCCCATCTTTCATCCTAAAGCCGGTGACTGGCTGGGCAAATAAAACCTGAGCCGAGCCTGGCAACAAATTGTTTTTGAAAATGTCCACCCCCAGCAAAAGACCCTGTTTGGCTCCTCCGTGTAAGGAGCTGTGGGGACCCTTTCGGACACTTCTTCCTCTTGGGGGGGGGGGGGTCTGGATCTATATTTGAGGTAAAGTCAAGCTTTCCTCACCCCCCACCCCCAACACAGGGCAGGGATGCGGAGAGGACAAAAAAGAGATGGAGAATTACCGTGGCTGATGTGAAGCTTCCTCATCCAGGGGAATATCTGTGGAGTCTGCCCCTCGGGCGCGGCTGTAGTGGTGGCCATGGGCTCTGGCTGTGCCCGGGCCAGGCTCGGGCTGCTTAGCTGGCTCGCCGCTTCCTCAGGCTCGGAGGATGCGCTGGCCTCGTCTATTTCGGTGAAATTGGCGCTGGAGCTGGCTGGGGTCGCCTGGTCGGAAGGGGACGAAGCAGCGGGCTTGGCGCCGTGGCTGTCGCCGTTGGTGCAGGGCAGGGACTCGGGCGAGGACAGGGAGCAGCTGGACGTCGCCTGCCTGAAGCGGGGCTCCTGGGCTGACGCGGGGAAGGCGCGCGAGCTCTCGCCCACCGCCCCAAAGTGGCTGGAGGAGGCCGAGGAGCGGTTGACGCTGAGATCCATCCCATTGTAATTGTAGCCGTAAGAGCCGGTGTGCATGGCAGCGGGATCCCTGTAAGAGCCGCTCAGAGAGCTGCCACTGCCATAATTTAGCAACTGATAGTCCGGGCCATTTGGATAACGCCCCGAGAAGGAGTTTACAAAGTACGAGCTCATTTGGGTGATTTTGGAGGGCTTGATTTGTGGATCGTGGTCGTTATAACCCTGTGCTTCACGATTTATGATGTATTAATGAATTATAGCGATGCACTGTACTTCGTTTTGCTATGTATGCGGCCAAATATGGGGGGGGTTGGAAGGGGGATGGGGGGGCGTTAGGGAATCACGTGCTTTTGTTGACCAGTCGTAAATTCTCGCTGATGACCTCAAGAGGTAATTCATGCTCTATGGTTACAAATAATGACGATCCGAGAATCGTTAGGGCCGATTCAATGCGAGCCTCCGAGAGGGGGGGAGAAAGAGAGACGGGGGAGAAACAGGGAGAAGGTTGGCGTTGGCCTCTGAGCAGAGCGCGCCACCTCCCGGCGATTGATGGGAGCGCGGGCAGCAGGCCGCCATGGCGGCGTCGGCAGCCTCCCAGCTGGCTCTGGGCAACAGCCAGGCGAGAAAGAAACCCGGGCCCGCGGCTCACCCGCAGGGTTGGACCTTTAGGAAGATAGGTTTGAGTCTTTTGCCCACTTTGCTAGAGTGCGGTTATTCCCTCGATTTATGTCCTTCTCTCTGACATTGTTATCATCATCATTTATTGTTATTACCATTATTTTAACTCTGGAGAGTGTGATCAAGGATTTAGTCGCCTGACCTTCCCTCCTTGAGCTTTGCCAGTCCCAAAGTTGGGTAAGGAAATGGGGGGGGGGGAAGGGCTAGAAGTTGTGTGTGAAAAACAATCATTCCGAGTTATCTCCGTTAGCTCAACCAGGCCTCCTTCCTGGCGAGGAGGCTTCGGTGGCAGGTCCACACCACCAGGGAGCCGCGGGGCTGGGCAGGAGGCTGGAAGAGGCAGAGAAGCTCTTCGTTCTCCTGGGGCCCTGCGAAGTTTGAAATTCTGCTCCTGACCTCGCATCCTTAGCCCAGGCCTAGGAACCGAGCTGGAGAAGGGACCCTAGAAGGAACACGGGCGGGAACAGGCAGCCGAGAGCGGCCAAGACCAGAGCGGCCACCGCCTAGGCGGTTTAGATTTGGGTGGTAACTCCTATGTGAGAGTTTGGGGATAAAAACGGAACCCCTTAACAATCTCGCCAGATGCCAGCCATCGCATTCGGAGGCCAGATCCGAAGCCTTGTGCTGCTGGTGGCTAACAGTCGGAGAATTTGCTCATCCGCCTTACAGCCTCCCTGGGAAGGGGTTCGGAAGACCGGCGGCCCCTTGCTGAGCCCGCTGGGCGGCCAGAGATCTCGGCAGCTGGGCCCTTCTGCCAGGCGACTATTTACTTTAAAAATAAAAAAAGGGGGAGAGAGGGAGGAGGAAAAAAAAGAAAACGGAGCCTGGAGCCTGAGGCTTGGGTGTTGGTGGGAGAAGAGAGAAGATAAGCCCTTTTGGGTAGAGAAGATGAGACCAACTGCCTCATCACCTGGCCTGGTGCCCTCAGGTCTCCAAAGAGCCAGATAAAGTCGGGCCCTTGCAGCCTCCTGCTCCCGGGTTCTCATTCTCTCCCTTGCCACCGAGCTCCTACTTAATATGGGAAGGGGCACCCTGGAGCCTGTATACGAACTGTGGAGAGATGCCCAGTGGCCTCATTTTTCAGTCTCCGGAGCAATAGGCCGGGGAGCCGAGGGCCAAGGCCGGCAGATACAGCCATGTGGGCGGGCCAAAGGCCAGGGGCCTTGGCTAGCAGAAGACAGAAAAACGCTGCCGAGGCGCCCAGACCCGCCCAGCTAGGTCTCTCCAGGGCTCTGGGCTAGGAGGCCTCAAGTGGCATCCCTCCAGAGTCTCACAAACCTAGGCAAGCTTAGAGAACAAGAAGGAAAAGGCTTCCCTCCATCCCTCAAGTCTGAATGGGAGAGGCAATTGTGGATTTAGCAAGAGAGAGGCACTGGGGCCTGGGGGAACCGATCGCTGGCCTCTGCTTTTGGCTCCTGCTTTTATCTCAACTGTACCTCCCGAATTGAGTCTGGTGGCTGGAAAGGCCCTGAGGCGGACCACGGTTCTTGCCTTTGCTGTTCAGGCTCAGGGGTGACAGGGTGGCTGGGACTATGGAGTGGGGGAAAAATGGCAGGGAAGGATTGGATGTGATTGAGCTGCGAGTTTTCACATCTTTATTATTATCATCATCATCATAATCATTATTAATAATATTAATATTATTACCGAAGTATTTCACGTCCAGAGCTAAGACAAGACTACAAACACAACACATAGAAAATTAATAAAATAGAACTTTGTTTTCTTCTGAGGCTCCTCTTCTTACTTCTAGGTAGTATGTGCTCCTTCCAGTGGCTTTGGGGAGGGGGTAGGAGAGACAAGTCTGGGGTCAGGGAGTCTTTCAGGTCCCCGCTGAGGGGACAGCGAATCTACCATTGAACCGTGCACGGGGGGACATGGACGAAATGAGACTCGACAAGGACACGAGCATTCTGCTCTGCTTCCGGGAGACATCAAGTGAGTCCGATTCTCAGTTCTCACCAGGGAGCCTGATGAGGCCAAGGTGGGTTCTTCGGGGAGGGAGGAGGCGCTGGGGTGCTGGGTGGGCAGCCTGCAAGCGCCCAGGAAGAGCTCTGCGGGCGGGGACGTCCAGGAGAGGGCTGGGCCCCGCCCGCCTTGCGCGGCAGAGCGAGTCCCCAGACTCCCCCGACCGCAGAGCCTTCTGGGGCTTTCGGGTGCCCTCGGTTCCCCTCCAGGCCTCTCCCTTCGCGTCCCCCCTCCCTTCGCAGCACCTTCACTCGGCTGGTTTTTCTTCCTCCTCCTCGGCACTGAGCTGGGACGCACTGAGCAGTTTGCTCTCCTTTTTCCACTTCATGCGCCGGTTCTGAAACCAGATCTTGATCTGCCGCTCGGTCAGGCACAGGGCGTGCGCGATCTCGATGCGCCGCCGCCGGGTCAGGTAGCGGTTGTAGTGGAACTCCTTCTCCAGCTCCAGGGTCTGGTAGCGCGTGTAGGTCTGGCG